AGATTAGTTGTAGTACTGGTCATTTTCTGTACATGGAGTCGACATTTGAATCGATATCAAAATATATTTTAGAAGCAGTTAAATCTGAATGGACTCATGATGTTGTTCTGAAAAGGTCAGTCTTACAGTACAATCCTGAATACGGCTGCCTATAAAGCAGAAAACACAGAAACAAAACCATTTTTAAAAGCAACAGCGATGTTTAATATTCTCAGCACTGTTTAATATTCAGGATGAGGAAGGTTTTCTTCCAGTATGTGAAGGAGTGTGTGTGTGTACATGTAGCACTATAGAGGCCTGCCTTGCTCAGACAGGGAGATGTCAGCAGCGAGTGATATAAGCCTGAGCTCCACAGCATCCTTGCACTGCCATACAGAAGAGCCGACAGCCAGGAAAGACAAGCCGTCCTCAAATCCGAAGGCTCTCTCACTAATTGTTTCTGAAAAAATGACATTTGTCTTTTTTGCACCTTGCTTCAGGTGTCAGTGCCTTTCACATTAGAGGGCTTGCGATGGTGCGATTGCCCTGAAGCAGTTTGTTTGATGTTTTGAGGACTGTCATTTCCACGTGCAACTCCATAGAAATTGAAATCTGTATTTATTTACATGCAAGGTTAATAAAAAAAAGATGCCTAAGTGATTTGAAAGTCAAACAACTGCACCTGCCACTCACCCGTAATTTTATGCAGAACAGGTTCAGCACTTTGTTACAATGCAGAAGAGATACAAAAGGTAGAATACAATAATTGTACCAGCTTATTTCTGATGTATACAAGCCCTCATCTAACACTGGTATTAATTTGTACTGTTTGCTTACTTGCTTAACATCATTACTTCTATTCGAGTTACCGTTTTGTAAACAAAAACACTATTACGTTTATTTTATAAGAGCATAATTAAAATGAAGTGCACTCTAAAAGAAATGCAGGGTTGTTTTAACCCTAATTTGGGTCAAATATGGACAAACCCAGTCGTTTTTAAATGACATTTTTAAGCCAACAGTTGAGTTTGTTCATATTTGACCCAAATTTGGGTTAAAACAACCCAGCAATTTTTTAGAGTGTACAAAAGTCATGACCCTGTAATGTTGCTTTGCCTTTGAGGTTCAAAAAAAGTATTTAAGAACAAAAAAACGAAATAATAAAAATGATGTGGGTTGTTTTAACCCAATTTTGGGTCAAATATGATTATTTGAAACATTTTTAAATGACATTTTTTAACCCAATGTTTGAATTCCTCCATAAAAAAAACATAAAATGTATATAATAACCTATTTCTTGATATCCAATTATTCAGGAACACGTTTTGTGCATGCTTAAACTCTCTGTTAGAGTTATCTGTCTTTGTGATCATATTATAGTTATCGTTTCCTTCTGTGACATTATGTAGACAACACTGCCACTTGCTGCAAGACAGCAAGTACCGCATTTTCTGCTTCCAGAAACAATATACTAAAAGGTGTATGAAACAATGTATGTGTGTGTGTGTATATAATACACACAACTGAAATATGTTCTAAATACAAACACAAAAACTTTACAACAACTGTATAGAAATGTGTATTTTTTTCTATACTAGGCAGCCAGCTCTAATTGCAAATAATAAATGTGCTTTTGTAATAAAAAATTGCTTTTGTGTAATAGTAATGCATTTTCAAAAAAAAACCAAAAAAACAATACAACTCTATTTATTTGTTACATTTGAAGAAACCAAAGGAGCAACCTCTTGAATTATTTTGTTTCATAATAATGTTTGGAATGTATTTTCCTTTCTTTTTTCGGTAGCGGAGGGCTTTTTTTTTCATGTTTTCTTACTCAAAGCCTCCGAGAAGGTTTGTGAGCATATATCAAGATGATGCACTGACAGTCAAAGGAAGAGCAAATACAATCAGGGCCGGGAACAGGAAGAGAAGCGCTCTCTACAGATGGCAAGACGCATCCTTTCAGTCCTTAAACAGACACGAGAGCAGCCGAGGGACCGGGCCCTGTCTGTAGATTGTGTCGAAGAACAGTGGGTACTTGGCACAAGTAGCAGGAACAATTAGCGTCACGTAAGATTCCCAGAGCAATGGTGGAGAGAGGATACGAGAACACGGCATCTTATTTTCTGCGGGCGGACTTGAACTGTTATTTACAGGCATCTCTTCTTGTCATTAAACACAGCAAGAGCAAGACTCAAAGACAGCGGTAGTCATGCCCCATATTTCACTGCTGATGACTTATGTGTGGGCAGGGAGATTTGTTTGCATCCGTGAATACCTAATTAAAGAATCGACAGAGGAAGTAGGCCTCTCCTTTGAGAACGCCCCACCACCCAGTCTCTGATACTGGGAATGTGTTCTTCTTAGCATTGTGCTTCGGCTCTCTCATTGTGAAACACACGCACAGGCAAATGTACCGTTCGAAATGTCAATAATGAGATGAAGTAAACAATTTTACCATATGACACACTTACACTTTCAGTTCATTACTGTGTGTGGGAGGTAATGTTCTGCTGGCAACGTGCATGCACATTACTACAAAGACTGACAATTAAAACGCATTTCATTAAGTTGGGCAATATTGAAATGAACACGCTCTGAACTTCACAGGCAAAAACAAGCCAGAGACGGCCTCTCATGCTCTCGCTTTGTTTAGGGTTTGCGTAGACATTCTGTCATCCACTATGTGTACTAAAACACCTTTATTTAGCCATTAAAAACATAGGCCTATTCATTATTTAAAATAACATAAAGTATTTTTTCAAAATTAAATGCATTTCATTTCAGCGAAGGAAACATTTCTCGTTCTCATTTAGTTTAGGAAGAGCAGGCAACGTCATCTGACTATAGCAAAGGAAGGAGAAACGACATATCTCAGCTCCAGGATAGAAGTGTGAGCCAGCAGGATGGTTATTATTTCATCATTTGGGCTGAGCTCTGGAAACCCGAGCCCCATCAAATAAACTTAATCCAGGCTGCCTATGACATAACACCAAGCCCATCCAACTTGTTCTGTTGGGGGAAGGAAGTTGTCTTACAATGCAGACTGATCTCATGAAGTAGCGCGTGTATGACACGCCAATTCGCAGTGTTGTAGTACTCGAGACTCGGACTCGTCTCGGACTCGGTCTCGAGACCATATTTTAATGGTCTTGGTCTTGTCAAGGACTCGTGTCCATTTGGACTCGGAATTGTCTCGTACTCGAACATTTTTTTTTTTTAGGACTCGAAATTATTCCCGAGTCCACTCGAGTTCAATTAAAAATATTTTTCATGATTATTAATGTATGTTAATAAAATATTTCTTTAAATTGATTGACACGCCCAGTGATTGGTGATTTTCTAGTGCGCAACTGCGCATGACAAATTGTAATGAAATTACTTTTAACACCACCTACTATGTGGCCTTTTTACCCTAAACTGATCATATTTTTTAAACTCTAAGTAAATTCAGTAAAAAAAAAAAAAAAAAAGGATTTCTCTAAGTAAATAAAAGTAAATTAGGTAATCAACCCTCACTGGTCTCGGCCTCGACCCGGACTCGACCGTCTCTGGTCTCGGACTCGACCGTCTCTGGTCTCGGACTCGACTCGGACTCGACTCTCTATGGACTCGGTGTCGACTCGGACTCGACTAAGGAGGTCTGGACTACAACACTGCCAATTCGTATTTCCATTTTTGGCGTGCTATCAAGACGCATAAAGTGTTTATGAACGCCGTTGACTTAACGTTATCACTGTATGTAAAAATATATGACTTACCTCAATCCCATCCCTAAACCTAACCGTCACTGGGGTTAATGGCATTTATGACTGTTCCCTTACCATCCTACGAAAAAAAAAAAGATCGCTCCCCAGATGTAGTTCTACATTTTGCTACGTTTCGCGAGGACATTTGACGGCGTGTACAGACAAGCGAAATCAATCAGATGTTAATGGCGTAGACATACACGCGGATACACGCGGATAGCTCAAAATGCGTAGAGATAACACGCCACTTGACTCGAAAGTGGCGTGTATGTTTACGCAAAAGTGATGATGTCATGTTGCCTACAGTGGCTCAACTATAAGTTTATCAAGCGACGAGAATACTTTTTGTGCGCAAATAAAGCAAAAATAACGACTTTATTCAACTATTCCTTTTCTTCCTTGTAGGCCTGAGACGAGAGTTCAAGAGATTTCCATGACGCATGTGCGAGAATTGCGTTCTTATTCTACTACTTCTTGCGCAATTCTCGCACATGCGTCGTGGAAATCTCTTGAACTCTCGTCTCAGGCCCAGAAGGAAGAAAAGGAATAGTCGAATAAAGTCGTTATTTTTGTTTTATTTCCACACAAAAGGTATTCTCGTCGAGCCTATGTAGCAGTGATCCAGCTCTCAAATTTAATCAAAAATATCTTCATTTCAGATCCAAAGATGAACAAAGGTCTTACGGGGTTGGTACAACATGGGGGTGAGTAATTAATGACTTAATTTTCATTTTTGGGTGAACTAACCCTTTAAAACTAACTTGCTTGACCAAAGTGCTGTACAAAATATAGTTAAATGCATACAAAGATTAAAAACAACTTTCAAAAGACACTGAACGCAAAAGAGTACAAGTAGGTTTTTAAAAGTTTTCTGAAATCAGACACTGTGGGATAACAGCATCATAAAATGTGTGGTAAAGCCTCATGCTGGAGTGTCCACTGTGATGAAATTCATTAAATTTACGACAAATCATTAATTCATGATAATGAATGGCTTCTTGGCAAATATAGAGATTTCTTGTGTCATTTCACCATTCAATCTGTGATGACATTGGAAATTAATTTAAACCAGCCTGAAAGCCTCTTGAAATGTCTCAAAACCACAGCTCTTGCAAATGATACGTCACACTCCCCAATTTCCTAGATTGCATCAAGCTTTCTATTCAGGTTATTTCCATTCTATACCCAATAGCCATTGAACAAAATTTCTGAGTAAAACTTTGATCAAATCAATACCATGCAAACAGAAGTATCTTATTTATCTGAGAAGGCGAAACAAACAAAACATGGACTTTCCACCTCAGCTAGTCTACATTTGTGCCTCACTTGCACAAGTCACAATTTCATTTTTCTCTTTTGTTTCTGTTGATTAAGTCTGGCACCTGACATTAAGATGCTTTGTACTGTTATCCTCCTCTTGGCATTAACAGGTATGTTTATATCCGCTTGCATTAAGACTATTTAGGCTCGCATGGGAAATTTGACAATGCATTGAAATATTTTGCTTGATAAATGCTGTTACTTGACATTTTGGAGGGCTTTGGCCTGAAGGTAACACTGCTTCTCATTGATTAAAGTTAATTTGGGTGCTTAGAAATTGTATAAAGACATCCTTTTATAGGCCACCTAGTCTGTGTTATGGTAATGAGCATTTTAATAAGCTGAAATTTTGTAGCAGGTAAATGCCAACCTAATAAACTAACTCTACAAATGCTGTTTCATAACACTGTTGGCTTTCCTATCCTGGAATGATGTGCATTCATTTCCCCAGCAACGGTTAATTCTATTTAACTAATGTTAGATCACTTTATGTGTAGGACTGTGCCAATCTACTCTAATCAGCAAGAGTCACAAAGGAGATAATCCTCTGCTGCAGTACGTGGTGAATAACTCTCTGAGAGAACACCCTGTGCTGACCAAACTACGACTGGTGGGTAGAAAAGCACGTGCCACAAAATAAGCAAATTCATCATGTGAAATCAAATAAAAACTTAAAGGAATGGTTCACTTCAAAATGAAACTTCTGTCTTTATTTACTCACCCTCATGTTGTTTCAAACCTGCATGAATTTCTGTCTTTTGCTGAACACAAAGGAAGATATTTTAAAGAATGTCAGTAACCAGAGAGTGGATGGACAACATTGACTTCCATAGAAGAAGAAAAATACTATGGGGTACATCAACTTTTTGGTTACCGACATTCTTTAAAATATCTTCCTTGTGTTCAGCAGAAGAAAGAAATTCATAGAGGTTTGAGTAAATAAAAACAGAATTTTAATTTTCAAGGTTCAACGTGTTTTGCTCTTCTGAAGACCTCGGTTGTAACTTTCTATCAGCACAAACCAGTCTGGCCATTCTCCTATGACCTCTGACATCAACAAAGCATTTTCGCTCACAGAACTGCCACTCACTTAATATTTTATTCCTTCATCTTTTTACTGGGATTTCCATGCACAACCATCTGAGGATGGTTGTGCATGGAAATCCCAGTAGATCAGCAGTATCTGCAATACTCAGAACCAGCCCATCTGGCACCAACAACCATGCTATGTTCAAAGTCCCTTAAATCACCTTTCTTCCCCATTCTGATGCTCAGTTCGGCATCTACGTGCCTAATGCCTGCTATACAGTCTGTGAGATTTTCAATCCTAAAAGATCATTACAAACTGTACAACATGAATATAGTAAAATGGGGTACAACATGTACAATGCACGATTTATGTACCATGTAGGCTATGATACAAGTTAGTATAGAAGAATAAAACGTCATTAGCAGCATGCGCTAATGGTAAACAATAATTGTGGTGTTAAAGTGCACTAAAAAAAGAGGAGGAAGCGAAAGAGAAGAATATGGACGCGGTCATCATGGCAGGGGAACAGCCGTGTCGATATTTATATATAATAAATGTCCTTTTGTCAAAAATTTGGGTAACATTTAAATTTCATGTGACTTTTAATCTCTAATACTGTCCGAGTCTTCATGTGTAGTATCACACACTAACAGTAGAGGTCAGTAGAAGAAAAAAAGTCTGCATTTTTTTCATCTGTGTATTTCTGTTTTAAGAGAACTATGAGTGACCCCTGGTACCTGATGATGGTGGCATCTGAACAGGCTCAGCTTATGGCTAATCTTGCCAAACTAATAAAATCCAATAAAACTATTGAGATTGGTGAGTAGTACAAGTAATATAATTAATGAAAACCTTACTGCTTACCTATAAAACACACATTTTGCATCTGTCTTAGGGATGTACACAGGATACAACGCCTTAAATTTGGCTCTGGTAGTTCCTGAGAATGGACGCGTGGTGGCCTGTGAAATTAATGAGGAATATGTGGAAATAGCCAAGCCATTTTTTATAGAGGTAAACCAAAGCAAAACACAATCCACCAAGTTTGCAAAACTATTCAAGGCTGCATTTCCCAAAAGCATTGTAAGGCAAGTAGATTGTGGAGACCATTACCACCAATGTTCTCTACGATCAACTTATCTCACAATGGTTTTGGGATACACAGCCCAAGCCCATAATAGTACCTTTTAATGCAGGCTATAAAGCTGAAGTCATTTGTATTAGAACTGCTTTAGACAACCGTATCAGTGAATTTGCTCCTCATACACATACACCTACACATATCAATTTCAATACTGATTACTGCCTGCCAATGCAAGAACACAGTCATCAGTATAAAGTCCAGCTGACCAGTAACGATTGAAGGCAGAGATGCAGAAATGTCCATCAGACTTTACACTGATTGCTGATTGAGACTGATGTGATTGGACATCTAAGTGCTGATATCTGCACAAAGCCAAGCAAGTGCTTTATCTACACTTTTATCTTTTTATTCTATAGTTTTATAAAAATGTCATTAAATAACACCCAATCATAAAGCAAACTTATATGTCTGGAAAAAGCAAAGATAACAGATAATGGACTGAGGGATGTTTTGTTATTCTCTATAAATTAACAAAGTAAAATTAGAACAAATAACTACAAACTCTCTTTGTTTTAGGCTGGAGTGGAGGATAAAATAGATATCCATATTAAACCTGCAGTTGACACCTTGGGTAAAGATGAAATACAATATTATCATTATTATTGTAATTATTTCAAGTGGAGATATATATTTAAAAAAAACATCCTTGTGTCTTTACAGATGAACTCCTAAGTGCTGGCGAAGCTGGGACATATGACTTTGTGTTCATTGACGCTGACAAGAAGAATTATGACACGTACTATGAAAAGTCACTCCAGCTTGTTAGAAAGGGTGGCATTGTAGCTATCGATAATGTAAGTAGTACACGTTATTATAGTATTAAAACGAGCCCATACGTAACATACTGCATGCTATATTTTACAGATTCATTTATAAGGAGTCCTAAAAATATTAAGATAAATAAAGCAAATATTGTCCTACCTTTGCTCTTTGGTTGTGAGTAAACTGGTGTTTTTCTGCTCTCCAGGTTCTCTGGGGTGGTAAGGTCATCAACCCAGCTGAAGATGACCTTTCTTCGCAGACCATAGACAAACTCAACAAGAAGTTATACAAAGATGAGCGGATTGATCTCAGTATGCTCACTGTTGGAGATGGCCTGACACTGGCCATCAAAAGATAACCCAGATTGTTTAACAAAAAATAAATAGTCTATAGAAAGACAATCCTGTTCCTGGAGATCTACCTTCTACTTCAGCTCCATCTCTACTCAACACAACTGTCTGTAATTATCTAGTGCTGCTGATTCAGGTGTGTTCTATCAGGGTTGGAGCTACATTTGCAGGCCATTGTTATTTTAAATACACTTTTCACTAAATAAATAATCACATTGTCAACCAAATTGTCTGGTGTTCTTGAAAACTATGGCACGTAGGCTGTAACCATTAAAATGATTAATATATTTATAAAGCTAGCATGTTTTGCTAAGCCTAGTAGCGTCAGTAGGTTTGTCCACAAGATGGCGCCATTACTCTTCCTTTTCAAGTTAGTTCACTTTTGAGAAAAACATCTCCAGGTTACTTATTTACTTGTGTGCAACGTAATTATTTTTGTACTGTAGCCTGCTATCTTTAAAGTTACAACTGAAGTAATCCACATTAAATACATCATTAAATCGGCTATATCTGATATAATGATAGGCTGCCTATACATGTTAAACATTTCTTTCTATAGCAATTTTACATTTCCCTTAGTACCTACTCAAGAATTGTTCGTTAGCATGAATAAAGAAAGTAGTGTTACAGTTTAACGTGTTGTTGACGTCGGACTCATACCCTTCGATAAAGTTTCGTTTATCGTTAATCAGAGCAAAATGTGGAAAGTGAAACTTAGCTTGTTATTGGATTGGAATGATTGGTGGGCTAACCTAACGATACCATATAAAACCCAGAAAGTTGTTTCGATGAACACCAGAAGAGCTCACAGATTGGAAGAAGGTAAGATTTTGTATCTGTCATTTTGTGTAGCGATAAATAAGTAAAATAAGCTGCTTTACATTAATAATAGAAGCCACTTTGCTATTTATTTATTTTTGAGGGGAAAAACTGCAATTCTATCAGTGATTACTTTTGATTCTAAAAAAAAAAAACCTAACTAAGATTTAATTTAAATTATTATTTAAGATGTAAATTATATTTGACTGATCATTTACTTTTGTTTTTCTAGATCCAATTGCAAACAAGTGGTCAGTCAGATACTGGCTACTGTAAACACAGTAAGGATTCGAAGGAAACGAAAACTGAAAGAGTGTAAACATTTGCATCTATTTTGTGTTTTAAACAATATTGAAATGTCTGAGGACGATCTTAAACTGTTGTCCTGCCACTTTACATGGGGCTTGCTAAAGGAGGATGCTGATCTTAACTTTCTCGAAGTGAAAGTTCGTGAAAAACTTTCGGTAAAAGGCGAGTATGTAGGAAACCTGAAACAAAGAGATTTCAATTTTTTGGCCTTCATTAAACATTTGCAAGGTTTGAACGACGAGGCGCTTAAGAACCTGCAACTAGCAAAGGAGGAACATCCGGAGGATGACAGGCATGTGATAGTGATGTATGGAAACTTGGCCTGGGTGCACAGTCTCATGGGCAACGCAACTGAGGCTGAGAAGTACGTGGAGAAAGTAAATGAAATCCTTAAGGCTTTCCCCACCTCATCTCCAACAGAGCTTCACAGAGAAGTTCAGAGTGAGAAAGCCTGGTCGCTTCTGAAGTTTTCGAGAAAGTCCTACGCCAGGGCGCAGGAGAGTTTCCTTGAAGCTCTACAGAAAGAGCCGGATGACAAGGAATGGAACACGGGCTTTGCCTTTTCTCTGTTCCGTCTGGAGGGACTGAAGATTGGCCAGCACAAGCGTGTGCGTTTTGAAGAGTCTCCAGCTGTGCTCCAGTTAAAGAAAGCTCTGAGTCTGGACCCGAACCATGCAATGATTCACGTGTATCTGGGGTTGAAGTGCTACAAGAATGAAAAGAATGCAGAGGCATGGCAGTACATGACTCAGGCCATCAAAATGGCTCCGGATAACCTCAGCGTTGTTTTGCATGTTGCAAAGTTCATGAAGAAAGAGCAGCGTTATGACACGGCCCTGGAGGTGTTGATTAAAATGCTGAAGAAAGCGCCAGACTCATCACGCTTACATCTCGAGATCGCTAACAATTACCGCTGGAAAGCCATGCAGATTGACGACATACACAATCCGGAGTTGCTGGGCCTTTGTGTTCACCATTTAGAGAAGGGTGCCAGTTTAAACCCAGGTCACATATACCCACAGCTGGAGTTGGCACAGAGGTATGCAGAACTAAAGCAGACGGCTAAAGCAGAGCAGAAGTTCTCTGAGCTGTTTGCCCTTCCCGACCTAAAGCCAGCTGACCGTCAAGCCTGGCATCGCATGTATGGGGATTTCCAACTATACAGGCTGGGCTCAGAGAGAGCCGCGGTCGAGCAATACAAACAGGGCATGAGGCTGGGACGAGTGTCCACCGAATGGACCAGTTGCAAAAACCGACTGAGAAAAGTCCTTCAGCGTGACAGACGGGACACATACGAGATCCGAATGTTCTTTGCTTCCTTTAGAACGGAGAACAAAGATTTTTGAGAGAGAACATAGGCTTCAATAATGCAATGAGCTATCATTATGTTTATGGAAAGTCCCCATAAAACCTTTCAAATCTTAAAATCTGCAGACATTTAGATTGATTGCTGAATTGCTTGTTTTCACCACAGTCATATTTTCTTCAATAGGCTAGCAGGAATGTTGCTTTATCCAAATTTTTTAAATAAACAAACAAACAAACAAACAAACAAATCATTTTAAGGTGCTTACTTTAAAGTCCAAACCTATTGAATATTTCCCTTAATTGTCCCTATAGTCACTATTGTTATCAGGATGTTTTCTTCCATCATTGAGCATAGCCTCCTTTCTGTTTCTATTACAGTTTATGCTGCTGCTGTAACTGTTATAATGCAAATGGGTGACACACCACAATTACAAATATGCTAAATAAAAACAAACACTAGTGATATCAGGCAATAAAAATAAAGTGTTAAAAGTGAAAGTCGCATGTATTCAGATGATAAGGCAGACTGGTGTGTTTATTATTGGAAGCTGCGCTGTTGAACTCAGTCCAGCTCACAGTGACCGCTCAGCATGACTGAAGTGGAGAGCTGACTTGTGCTTTTCTGCTGCACAAACATGTACTTATAGCTTGAAGGATGGTGTTACTGCAGTACAATACATGCAAATCTTATAATAAGAGGAAATGTTAAATAGCACCAACATATAATAAAGTTGTCACAGTTCTGCTGAAAATAATGTGTGCTGAATAGGAATTTGAGTACACTCTTAGAAGAAAAGGTTCTATATAGAACCTTAAAAGGTTCTAAAGTGCTACGTATTTGGAACCCCTAAAATGCAATGCATGTGAATGATCACAAAATTTAAGATATGGGGGTTAAAAAATGTAATTAATCAATATCACATGAAGAGTGCCATTTCAGTTTTTCGCCTCCAAAAATCAGCATGATTAAAATGTGATATTAACAGTTTAATGAACAATAATTTAATTACAACTACAAAATATGCAGAATAATGTAATATATGAATGAATAATAGCCTATGAAGAACCTTTGTGTCAAAAGGGTTCTTTCTTGTCATTATCATCATTTTTTTTCTGCATAAAAGGTCCTTTGCAGTTGATTAAAGAACCCTACATATATAGAACCCTTTTTTCTAAGCCTAATATGAATGTTTTTATATTAAATTATATTATTAGTCTTATAAGGAGAATTTAATGCTGATATTTCAGTATAGGCAGTAACAGGGTTGACTTACAGATCAGCCCCTACATTGATATTGTGATTTAAAAAATAAATGAATGAAATATTTATAAATCAAAAATAAAAAGTCCTTTAGAAAAGAATGATTTTGACATTTTTATGTAGGCTTGAAGCCCACATCATTTCGGGAAACCTTAGGCTACTAAGTGGAGCAAACATTTGCTAGTAAAGGTTAATCAACAACAAACAATAATTACATAATTTTACTGTATCATATGATACATATTGAGTAATTACAGGAATTTTATAGCCTAACGATTAAAATCTACTCAATTCGCGAGCATTTTTTTTTCTTTAGCATAACCTAGGCTACTCTCACTAATTTGTGTTTACTGGAATCTTCGAAAAAGCTGTTAAACGCCTGTATCTGAATCATATATCAATGTATATGGCCTAATGAGCCTGTTATCCTCGTAGGCAATTTAGTTTAACTGTCGATAGGCTATATTTTTCTCAGATAAAAAAATAATAGACCTCTTTTTCCAGAATTTCTGATTTGAAATATGACAATAAGACTATAGGCTACATTTTACAGCATATGATATTGTATATCTATTCCAGCCTCGGTAACTTAAAAGAAATGTTAGAAATAATATGAGTTGTGAATCTGCGGACGAGAGGAGTTCGTGTGACGTCACATCAGTTCCCTGGAGATCAGTGGAGGAGTGAGTGAGTGAATGCGCAGGATGCTGAGCTGAACAGCTGATTCAGAGCATTTAACCTGTACTATGGACAGCTGTATTCCGCTAACCTAGCATCTATTGCAGTATAAAAGGGGGAGCATTTTCACTACTGCGAAGGAAAACGCACCAGCCTCACAATGGAACGTTTTCTTCATTCACCTGGCCGGACACGGGAAGAGTACCGGTCCCAAACGCCGCGTCCTTCATCGAAACTCATGTCAAGGTCTGCCTTTAGCCTTGGGTCCACAGCACCACTGAGAGGTAATGAAACCCTTACCGAATTCGCCGCAAAACCGGCCGATAGCTTAGATTTTTCAAACAAATATGCAAGTGGAATCAATCTGAGGAAAATTAGTGAGAAAGAATTACTGCAGGGGCTCAATGACCGCTTCGCGGGATTCATCGAGAAGGTTCATCACCTGGAAAATCAAAACAGAGCGCTAGAGAGAGAAATTGAAGCCATTCGACTCAGAGCAAAATCATCTTCCTCTCTGTCCAAAGAGTATGAATCAGAACTTAACGGTCTGAGGCAGCAAGTTCATGAGATTGGCCTTCAGAAGCATCAGATTGAGATAAACCGTCAGAATCTGGAGGACGAGTTTGACACTTTGAGAGAGAAGCATGAAAGAGAGACTCGTGGTCGAGTTGATGCCGAAGAAAGCATTTCAGTACTGAAGAAATGCATTAATGATGCATACCTAACCAAGCAAGACATGGACAGAAAAGCCAAAGCTCTCGAAGAGGAGATCGGACTCTTGAAGAAAAACCACGAAAGTGAGGTAGCAGAAATGATGGCCCAAGTCCAAGAGGGTCTTGTGACAGCAGAAATAAGGGATTTTAGTAGAAGTGATGTCACTGCAGCTCTGAGGGACATCAGGATGCAACTTGAAGGTCACACCGACTCTGACATCCAATATGCTGAGGAACGCTTTCGAGCACAGCTCGCCAAACTGACCAAAGCTGCTGAGGTCAACAGAGAAGCTCTCATGGCCACTAAAGCAGAGATTAATGAACACCGGAGACAGCTGCAGTCCAAGAACAGCGAGCTGGACTCTGTGAAAGGTGTGAGGGAAGCTCTGGAGAGGCAGCTGTATGACCTCGAGCAACGGCACAATGCTGAAATCCATCACTTCCAGGTATGGAAATATAATGGGATGCACTGTTTAGCCTAGAATATTTGAATCATTTAGAGTACGGAAATTTAGAAATAAGAGCAATTCTGTTTAAATCAAGAAACAGTAAGCTGAGCACTATCAGTGTTGGGGAAAGTTACTTTTAATATTGTGTTACTCCCTAAAAAAGAAGGTAATCGCATTACTAATTTACTTTTTATGGAAAGAAACGTTACGTTACATTTCCGTTACTTGTTCTCACCTTTACGTAATATTCTGAGTTTGCATTTAACTGTTTTTATTCATACTGAGGAATAGTACTGAAAGTGTTTTTGTGCAAGTGAAACGAGGAAATACAATAACCATCATGGTTTGGACAACACTAACAACTTGCATTACTTATTTGAAAAAGAACTCAGACATATTGTTTTAAATTTAAAATTAATGTTACTTTACTAGTTATTTGAAAAAGTAAACGTATTACGTAACTCGTGTTACTTGTAATCCGCTACCCCAACACTGAGCACTATACACCTATTCTACAGAATCTAAAAATTCAGTACCATGTCATGTGGCTTTTTTTCTCTCTAATGCACTTTCATTGTGTTTCTTCTTTTGCCCATGGTGCAGGATACAATCAGAGAGTTGGAATACGAGCTGAAAAATGCTAAATATGACATGAGCAGTCATGTGAGGGAGTACCAGGACCTTCTCAATGTCAAAGTGGCACTGGATACTGAAATTTATTCCTACAGGTACTTCTTTGATTACATTATTTTGATTTTACAGTACAGTGACCTCATAGCAAACTTTCAGGACCAACGAAGTCTTCATAACAGGTCTGAAAATTGTTTTTATTAAACCTCATGTATTTTTAGCCGCTTTCCATTCCTGATTCTGTCCGTAGTGTTACAAATGTTTATCCAATTAAAATGTATTTCTTTTCAATCCCTTTACAGTGCAAATTATTTTTTATTTGTACCTTGAAGGTTTAGTCTTGATATTGTGTGTCATTGCAGAAGCCTTCTTGCAGCACATTTATTATATGACATACAGAATTAGTGAGTGAACAAAGCGAGATATGTTCTACTTAACTGAAATGTTTATTAAACAGGAATGCTAATTTGTATGTAAAAAAAAAAATCATTATTAAGTGTTTTTTATTCCAGTTTTCAATTTATCTGTTGTTTGATTACAGCGAGTTTAAGTTTCAACAGAAATAGGTGTCATTTCATGATTTTGTTGGCGGCTTCCGTGTCTGTTAATGCTTGTGAGAGTTAGCCTCTGCATTAAGAAACAATAAATAGGACACATTTTTGACAAGATTCATTATATTGCCATCAGAACCAAATTATAGTATTACTAGAAATGTCCAATACCTACTGGCAGGGCGTCAGGGTTGACATGCCAATCGTCTCCACATCCATGTCAGTCATCCCATGACAGAGGAGATACTGAGAAGTGACCTGGCTGAGGTTTTACTTCATGAGCCCTTGTGAGAAATACAGAACTCTGCAACAGTTATCATAATTTTTATTTTATATATATAATATTCATTGCAATGCCATCATTGCCATATAATAGTAATATTATAATTTGGCTGTGACGGCACTGCACGTCCAGATTTTGCAGTGTTTGATGCGTTCCTGGGTCAACTTATTTTGTTGATCCTGGAACAACATTCCTGTCTGAAAATGTAATCGTAACCTTATCCCTAAACCTATTAACTTTCCCTTTAAAATTTATTATAGGTGAATAACACTGATGTATAAGCATCTAACCCAGGTTATAAACCTAAACTTGACATAAACTCTTAACACGTCACTCAAATCTGATTGGTTATTGGAATGCTGTTCCAGAATCGACAAAGACGTTGATATAGGAACATGCTGTACTTGGTGAAATCAGGGTCTGTGACAGCACTGTAATGAATGCTGTCAAAAGCATTTCCGATTTATAGTTTCTTAATGCTTAGATGTAAAATACATGGCTTGTCACTAGCATAATGAATCTGAATATTATTCTAAATTGTTTTGTTTTCTTTTTTTATCAGGAAACTTTTGGAGGGTGAAGAGTCAAGGTACTCTACAATCTCAGATGCACATATTTCAGTACCATACATTTACAGACAGTCACCCATCTATACTCTCCCTTGTGTCAAAAGGCAGGGGGGAGCAACTCGAAAAGCAGAGCCTCAGTACAAATTTGTTGAAGAGATTATTACAGAGACAACCAGAGAAGATGTGGAGATATCAGACTCTGGCTCTGAGAAGAGTGGGGAGGGGAGAGAGGGAGACAAACCAGATGAGGAGAGCAGTGAGAAAAATGAAACTCCTCAAGAAGCTGAAGATATTGAAGAACCAGCTTTGGAGAATGGTGATGAGCACAGTCCTGAGATAGAGACAGAAAAAGAGGATGAACCAGTTAAAATTACTCCAGTTGATTCTGAGGTACAAAAAGATGCCGACTCTGAACCATCTCAAGACTCTACAGAAAAGGCCATTGATGAACAAGATAAATATGAGGAAACTGACACAAAACACACAGAGCAGAAAGACCTGTTGAATGGAAAAGTTGATGGACCTAAAGAAGAATGTGTGAAAAAGACAGATAAACCAGCTAAAGAGACAGAGAAAGATGTCCCCAAACCAGATATGTTAGAAAATCAACAAATTCCAGAGAAATCAGAAACTGGATCAAAAGACAAACCATCTCAGGAGCCACAAAGTCCTGAAGCAACAACTGAAGTAAACGCTAAGCCCAGTGGACAAACTGTGGAGGTAACTTCTCCAAGAACTGAAGATGATACACACAAAGATGCTAAAATCTCACCAGAGAAAGAGAAAGAAACAACTCCAGTTCAATCTGTAGAGGAAGATTCTCCCAAACCAGATAAACCAGCAGCTGCTGAACCTGCTGAGAGTGGAAAACAGACTACTGGAGAGGACACAAAAGATATTTCTGATGCTGTACAGTCCGAGCCTTTGGGAAAAGACCAAGAGGATAACAACAAACTAACAGAGAAACATGTGGAGAAGAAGCAAGAGGCTCAATCAAAGACAGAGGAAAAGGAACAAAAACCTGAGGAGTTTGTTAAAGATAGCAAAGTTGTTGAACTGGTAGACAATGTGAAAACAAAAAAAGGTGAAAGTATCAAGCCTAAAGAAACAGAAAAGACACAAGAAAACCTTTCCAAAGCTGCAGAAGAAAAATCACAACCTGAAAAGTCAGAGGAACAGGAACTTGCTAAGCCTAAAGAAACCGAAAAGACACAAAAGGACATTTCCAAAGAAAAATCACAGCCTGAAAAGTCACAGATACAGGAGGACAGCAAAAGCGACAGTGTAGACACCGTCAAAACTGAAGAGGTTGAACTTGCTAAGCCTAAAGAAACAGAAAAGACACAAGAAAACCTTTCCAAAGCTGCAGAAGAAAAATCACAACCTGAAAAGTCAAAGGAACAGGAGGACAACAAAAGCGACAGCGTAGACACCGTCAAAACAGAAGAGGTTGAACTTACTAAGCCTAAAGAAACAGAAAAGACACAAGAGGATGTTTCGAAAAAAGCTACGGAAGAAAAATCACAACCTGAAAAGTCAAAGGAACAGGAACTTGCTAAGCCTAAAGAAACAGAAAAGACAGAAAAGGACATTTCCAAAGAAGTTACGGAAGAAAAATCACAACCTGAAAAGTCAAAGTTACAGGAGGACAACAAAAGCGACAGTGTAGACACCGTCAAAACTGAAGAGGTTGAACTTGCTAAGCCTAAAGAAACAGAAGTGACACAAGAGGACGTTTCGAAAAAAGTTACGGAAGAAAAATCACTACCTGAAAAGTCACAGATACAAGAGGACAGCAAAAGCAGCAGTGTAGACACCGTCAAAACTGAAAAGGTTGAACTTGCTAAGCCTAAAGAAACAGAAGTGACACAAGAGGACGTTTCGAAAAAAGTTACGGAAGAAAAATCACTACCTGAAAAGTCACAGATACAAGAGGACAGCAAAAGCGGCAGTGTAGACACCGTCAAAACTGAAAAGGTTGAACTTGCTAAGCCTAAAGAAACAGAAGTGACACAAGAGGACGTTTCGAAAAAAGTTACGGAAGAAAAATCACTACCTGAAAAGTCACAGATACAAGAGGACAGCAAAAGCGGCAGTGTAGACACCGTCAAAACTGAAAAGGTTGAACTTGCTAAGCCTAAAGAAACAGAAGTGACACAAGAGGATGTTTCGAAAAAAGCTACGGAAGAAAAATCACAACCTGAAAAGTCCCAGATACAAGAGGACAGCAAAAGCGGCAGTGTAGACACCGTCAAAACTGAAAAGGTTGAACTTGCTAAGCCTAAAGAAACAGAAGTGACACAAGAGGACGTTTCGAAAAAAGTTACGGAAGAAAAATCACTACCTGAAAAGTCACAGATACAAGAGGACAGCAAAAGCGGCAGTGTAGACACCGTCAAAACTGAAAAGGTTGAACTTGCTAAGCCTAAAGAAACAGAAGTGACACAAGAGGACGTTTCGAAAAAAGTTACGGAAGAAAAATCACAACCTGAAAAGTCACAGATACAGGAGGACAGCAAAAGCGACAGCAGTGTGGAAAGTGTGACAAGCGGAGGGGAAGTTAAAGTCACAGAGAAACAGGTTGATGAAACACTGAGCAATCAATCCCCCAAAGCCAAGGAAACAAAATCTGATGCAAAGCCTGAGCAAAAGGATACTAAAGAAAACAAGACGTTTGAGAAAGCTGAAGAAGAGGATAGTGTGATGACCAACGGCAGTGGAACTAGCAAGGATGTTAAAAGTGAAGAAACTGTCTCAAAACACAAAGAATCAGACAGTGAACATGAAGTGAAGCCTACCAAAACAAGAGATAAAGCTCTGGAGAAGACAGAGCAGGTCAAAGAGAGCAGCACGAAGGACAGCGTGGACACCAAAGGTCCAGAGGAAACAACTAAACCCACTAATGTAGTGTAGAATAACAGCTACCCTTAAGAAAATTTGACATGAGAACGAGAAAACTGTTTAAATAAGCTTTGATGAATGCAATATAAATTACTCACACCCGCGTGACGTGAGAGATGATCTCAGTTTAGCATGGAATTTAGAAACCGCTTTCTGACGTTTCCGACGCAGATGCATGCGTACTCTGTGATCTACGTGTACATGAATGTGTGAATCTTGAGGAATGTATAAGATTTTATTTTGCTACATCTGATCAGCCATATGTATGTAATGTATTAAAGTAGGGCTATATATTAACTTAATAAATATTCCAGCATATCAGTGTTTCCTAGTGTATTAATTCAAACGGTTTTCCTACAGAGGAACTATGGCCTACTGATTTTAATGTGGTGTCTGATGCTCCACTTCTTATCCTTGGTTCCAACACTTGCCAACCAGCACTTCCATATTCTCTTTAGTCAACATAGCAGCTATTCATCTATAAAGGATCATAGGGCATTTAATTAGTATATGCATTTACCTAAAAACTCACTTAAGACTTACCCAGAAAAACCCTAGACTGCTTGATATTTTAAGATGTCTCTACTTTGAGGCTGAAGTATATCATCTTAATCTGAAGGGCTATAAAATGACATCCAGATTACCAAAGCCCGTCTCAGTGCTGAAAACTAGGAGTGTGACATTACTAGGTCTAAAGAGCAGAGCCTCGAGTGATTTTGCTTCATGTTCCAAAGTCCCACATAAACACTGTTCAAAAGTTAGGGGTCAGAAAGGATGTATTAAATTGAAAAGTGATGGTCATTTGTTACAAAAGATTTCCATTTCAAACAATGTTCTTTTGAACTTTCTGTTGATAAAATAATTCTGATAAAAATGTATCAGTTTCCACAAAAAATTAGTGGAATTTGATACATTTCAAAAATCAAACAAGAAAACGAATTTTAAACCAACACAATTTTACAATATATATATTAATCAAATAAATGCAGCCTTGGTGAGCATAACACTTTCAAAAAAACAAAAAAGTTGACCCCAAAAATTTGAACAGTTTAAGATGGTGACCAAAGACAGTATTTTTTTTTTTTTAACGTATTAAAGTAAACCTACAAAATAATAAAATGACTATTACCATGCATTGTAGACTAAAACAGACATTTATATAGATTACGTAAAATTATGGTTTTTACACGCAAAATAGCATTTCCCGTAACCATAAACCCACAAAAAATGAAGTCTGGGTTGTTTAAGCACTAACCCTGTCCTTGTTCGCCTAATTACACAGAAAACTAAAACATCCATTTTAATCCAGTTATGTTCAATAGGTCAATACAAATGGGTGGAGTATATCAGATGTGAGAAAACAAGCAGTGTACCATGTTTTTACCAAGTGACATTACTTTCTGCCCAAACATTTTTGACTGAACTGCAAAAGATCCAAAAAGCTTTTATTCTACCTTTCAAAAGTGAACAAGCCCTTTAAATTTGCTTCCAAATCGGTTGTGAACATTAAGTAACCATTTTTCCTCTGTGTCCACAATTCTGTTTGACCCATGTTTGGGTTGCCAACACATTTTTGAACTAGAGTTTATAAATGAAAACACATTTGCTTTGTAATCAAGAACTGTATCATAAACGAGTTTAAATAGTTTATTGGAAAGTTCAAACATACACATTAGGACCTCCGAGGTATTGAGAAAGCTTGGCCTCAGGGAACCAGGGTCATAATGCAACACCGGGAGCAAAAGGTACTGAACTCAAACCACCTGTTCCACAGCTTCACGGTGAGCTGCGGGAGTCATCTGTGCTGCAAATGAAAACTAAAAGGCCAGCCATGCCAGCTCTGGAGCACCAGCGTTCATCTCCCCACTAGCCTACCCAAAAACTGCTCAGTTCAAGGGCAGACTTCACGTACAACGGTTACTCTGGTTGGCTGCCGAAGGAAAAGTAAACTGCTCAAGCTCGTCCTTGCGTGCATGGAAAGAAGAAAACGGTATAACAGTATTTAAATAATATCAGGTATAACCTTTAATATAGAGTTAAGTAGTTGCATGAATCGCATTCAGACGACTAAGGAATATCAGATACAATACAAATGATGAAATCAGGGACAGTTTTGTCACAAACCCACCACCGTCTAACTGAGAAAAGAACAACAGGATGCCACAGACGCCCTCCGTCCCAGAGAGTTTTGAATTACTGCGGCAGTGCTGGAGACAGATGAGGAACTTGATTTGCAGCTGAATGTCTATAAGAGAACAACTACAAACAGATACAAACAAGGGCATTTGGACCAGAAGGGGACAAAAAAGAAACACCATGACATGACATGACTGCTTTTGATGAGCCTTTGCACACATCCCATCCTGGATCCCCCTGCTGGTTGCTGTTGGAGTTAGATTTAAGGCCAGATTTCTCTGATATTCCCTTGTCCCTGATGTTAAGCAGGAGCAGGTTTAGGCCTCCAGCTCCAGGCCCAAGCCCAGCTTGTGGCCACCGGAATTGATGCTCTTTCCATCAACCAGGGCAGACAGGGTCAACTTGATGCCTGAAAACCACCACAGATTTAATCACTGGTTCTTTTACAGCAGGGTTCCTGATCTGCAGAGTTTAGTTCCAGACCTAATCGAACACACCTGGACAAGCCAATCAGTCTTCAGAGTTAAAGGGATACTCCACTTTTTTGGGGAAATAGGCTCATCTTACGTTTTCGAACTCTATTCAGCCGATTTTTTTATATTTAGAAGCATATCAGTAACCAGACAGTTTCTGGTCACATTGACTTCAATAGTAGGAAAAAAAAATACTATGGAAGTCAATAAGACCAGAAACTGTCTGGTTTACTGATATTCTTCTAAATATCAGAAAATCGGCTGAATACATTCGAAAATGGTAAAACTCAACTGCTTAACTCTGGGGAAGTGGAAAAATGAGCCTAATTCCAAAAAAAGTGGAGTAATCCTTTAATCACAGGCAAGTAAGTTTGAACAGGAACAGAACCCTGTTTTACAGCATCCTAACTACATAAAAACGAAATTATTAAAAGGGTGTTTCATGTTTCAAATATTTCCAAAACAATTTGTTTTATCAGTCTTCAAAGCTGAAGTCAAGCATATTTTGTGGTGAACAGATACCAACTATAAACTATTGTGAGGAATAAAACAAACAAACAATGCCTTTAACAGAAATTCTCATGTGTTAAGAGGAAATGCAAGACTGTACCTGGTCTCAGAGTCTGAGTATAACCAACACCGACAAGGCTGGTGTTATTCACTTTAGCCTGTAGAAATGAGAAAACATTGACTCATTTCTGAAGACATTGTGTGAACATGCAGAGCCAAATGTAACATTCAAACACACACACAAATGTAACAAACGCAATCGCGAGGAGCCTGAGTTCCAGTCTCTTAAAGGAGTAGTTCACTTTTAAAAAACTTTTGCTGATAATTTACTCACCCCCATGTCATCCAAGATGTCCACGTCTTTCTTTCTTCAGTCGAAAAGAAATTATGGTTTTTGATGAAAACATTCCAGGATTTTCTCCATTGGGAACCAAACGGTTCAAGGTCCAAATGAGAGCTTCAGTGCAGCTTCAAAAGGCTTTAAACGACACCAGACGATGAATAAGGGTCTTATCTAGGACCCTTCTAGTCATGACTTGAAAAAAGATTTGTTCATTTTGAGTTTGAACAGGAGAGTCACGAACACTCATCACAGAACAGAGCAAGCAGCATTTGAGCATATAAAACTTTTTTTCTTTTTAATTTATTTTTTAAATGACCGATCGAGATAAGACCTTTATTCATCGTCTGGTGTCGTTTAAAGCCCTCTGAAGCTGCACTGAAACTCTCGTTTGGACCTTGAACCGTTTGGTTCCCATTGAAAATTCCAGAAAATCCTGGAATGTTTTCATCAAAAACCTTAATTTCTTTTCGACTGCAGAAAGAAAGACGTGGACATCTTGGATGACATGGGGGTGAGTCAATTATCAGCAAAAGTTTTTAAAAGTGAACTACTCCTTTAACCAAAAGCTGTACTTTTAGTTTAGTAGCGCCTCATGAATTGTACTTCGGTTCACAGAGTTGCCATCTGATCCTCAACAGCAGACGGGCACAGATCTTTGGCAATGGGTCGATGCCAAATTCTGTGCAAAGAATCGATATAAAAGCTGTACTAAAATATGTGTGCTCTGATGGCCAATAGAAATCAGAGGTGGCTCTGCGGCTTTTTTTTTTTTTTTTAATCACAGCAGCACTAAACTTTATAATGGTCGATCAGCACACATCTTTGGCTGTGAATGAGGACTATTGATCAATAATTGAGTGGGATACATTGTGTCCGTCATGATGCAAAATATATTTTAATGGCATAAAGTACAGTGAATATTAATAATATTCACACAATATTTACACAACAACGATGTACTAAAAATGGATACGTTTTTCCTTTGCATTTTTTACAGAGACGACAAAGTTGTCAAAACGATCCCGGTGCACACGGATCCGCGAAATACGACTAAAAATGCTGCATTCTGCTGTCAGGCCAGTAGTTGGCGATGTGACTTTGTAAAGAAACAACAAGCCTAGGCTGAACACATATTTGGGTTTTCAGGCCCCCAAAACGCTGTTGTCGGGTAAATGAACAGCAAAAACGCATAAACTTTTCATTTTAAGTTGATAATGGCAGAGTGTAAACGGCCCCTTAGAAATCTAGAACAGGTGCCCTAACTTGTGATTTCTGCAAAAGCAATACGAGTTTACTCACACAGATGGAGGCGTCTTTGTCCAGCTGATACTTGGCAGCGATGCCGAAGCGAGTGCTGTTGTTTCCTGCTGTCCAGGCCAGATTCACCGCTGTCTCCAGTTTATCACTCACTTTCTGGTAGATGGAGCCACCAAACTCTGCGCCATCATTACTGGAGGGATAGACAAAATTATTATAGTTTAAACCAAGGGCCAAAGTTACACATTGCACCTTTAAATTGCAATAAATGAATCATTTATAAATGCACATTAACTCTACAAAGAGTTTCTCTTGCCATTCAGATTTTATAGAGATTGCACTCACAAAGAATTACTAGACACAAAATATTTTAGAGAAAAAAATGTGTCTCTTAACTGTAGAAGTTACCATGACTTAATATTTCATAACTATACATAAAAAATTTTGAAATATCCTTTCATATGTCCAGGTTGTCAATAGCCTGGCATATTTATAGAAACACAATGCATCATTCCAGGGAAAACATAGCATAATTCCTGACGTGTATTAAGCCAGCTCTGTGTACATAATTTCTCATAATATCAACACTTGCCTCCACT